CAACAGAGAGCTGGGAAAGAGGGAGCCAGGGAGAGGAGGACGGAACCTCGCGATAATTCCACCCTGTTCTCGCGGTTTCACGATAGGTCAGACGAGAGGCTCGTTCGCCAGGCTATGTGGCCATTGGCTGAGAGCACCGCTTTCTAAGGCTGGCCCCGCCCACCCTGCGACCCGCGCTTCCGGCTCCGTCTGGGGGCTTACGGCGAAGTGGCTGTTTGTTTTTGCGTTTGGAAGGGGTAATTTAGAAACCGTCAGTAACTAATCTGTTCTTTCATCCATACAGTTCTTAGGCATTCACGCTCTCATTCAATGCATCCGTTTAGGGATTACGACAATAACTCCCGAGCGCTTATTTTGTACCAGGCAGCGTTCTAAGAGCTGTGCATAGATCACCTACCTAACAACCCCACAGCAATCCTTTGACGCAGGTACTGCTATTATGCTCGCCTGATCGATGAAAAACGGAGGCTGAGTGGGTTTATGGGACGTGGCCAAGGTTAGTGAGCAAGTAGTGAGCCTAAGAACGGGGTGGGAGGCCTGCGTCCTCGCTGATAGGCCCATTCCACAGATGAGGCAGTAACCTATCTCTGCCCTTGAAATACCTCTTGTTAGAAAAGATCGCGAAAAAGGACAGTAACAACTTTGTAAGGTAAATGTTATGGCAGTTCCTAAGTGATGCAGGACAGGGCAAATTGCCCCGAGTGGAGGGGGCGACAAAGCCCTGCACAGAGAGAGGGAAGAGGGTCATTTGGCGGAGAGTGTACCAAGAATTCAACACACACGCCGAAGTTACAGTCAAAAAGAAAGTTTTATAGAAAGGGGTAGCACTTCACAGAGTGTGGTCTCCTCTCAGAGGCAAAAAGTGAGAGGGACAGGGAGAGACAGAGTAAAGGCACTGAGAGGGACCCTGAGTGTTCAGGGAATTCGGTTTATATGTCATTCTTTAGTTCCCATTTCCTTTGATATGGACATACAGCGAGGAAAGGGTAGAGTCGTGCCAAAAGCCCCTGGCTGGCCCTTTCCAGCCTTTAATCGGTAGAGTCCCCATGGTTTTAGCCATAGGGAATGACACTTGGTCCCTGTTCCCCCTTCACAGGTGTGGGGAATGGGTTAGCAATCACAGCAGAAATCTTTGTTCTGAAGATGTCCGGGCCTGGCTTCAGGGCTGATCAGCATATTGCAGTCTCTGATAGTGTATTAACATTTTAATTCTCTTACCTCCTCCCTACGTTACTAGCATGACCAAGTAGGCTGTGAATAAATATTTATTCAAGACAAAAATTCCTGTCAGGAGAAAGACTTCAAGGAAAGAGAGCTTTACACTGGGAGAAAAAAAAAAAAATTCAAGCATTGTTAGGGAACGTTAAAAAACAAACATTTTTTAAATACCTTGTTTGTTAATATGGCAACTTTCCCTCTGAAATGAGATTTAAAAAAATTGTTTTCCTCTCATGAAACTGCTGTTATTTATTGTTCTCAGAAAAGCTTGATATCGATCAATTTATCAGTGGTTCGTTGTCAAGCAACCTTGACTTTATGATTAGTTTTACATTGGTTTAATTATTATTAGAGATAAATAACCTAGAAAGCAGAGTTATAGTAAGTAAAAATAAAACCTGTTGCAAAACAAGGCATGAGTTATAATGAAGTACCAATTATTCATTTATCAAGCGTGATCTTCAAAAATTGCTGAAGTATACGGCATGGTATATATCATGCATTTCTAAGACCCTTTATACAGGTTTTGAAATACCTAAGAATTTGTAGTACTTAGGAATTTTTTGCTGGGCTTAAAATGAGGAAACCTACAGTTTGTGTAAAAACAAAATTCTTTGGGATATTAAAGATCAATCCAAATAATAAGACCCGCTCCTAATATTGAAGACACACTCGATTTACAATAAAACGGTTTCTTATAATCAGTGTTAAACTTCTTATTTTCATTTCTTTAAAAAAGGAAATATTTTAATGCATTAATTTAACATTCAATATTTGATCAAGAAAAACGAATCATCTTAAAAATAACTTCTACCCACCCCCCACACCTAACCATGAAATTGACACGAAAGTAAGCCAAGTGATTCTGTGGTTAGTATAGTATCCTATGGCTAACTTAAAAATGCTCTAAATCTGTCACGTGTCAATTTTCACAGTTTGCCTCACTCAAAACAAGGATGGAGGGAATACTCTAGTGATTCAGCATTCTTTGAAAAATTTTAACATCAATAGGCAGCGATACCACTTTAAGAAAATTCCAAGGAAAAGACGGCCCCACTTTAAAATTCCCACCTCTGGCTCCAAAGGATTGGGTTTCAAACTTCGACAAAATACTCTGCTCCACTCCCTATTGGTGCATGCTCTAATCATTCATTCTTCCGCCTGGAGTTTTGTGGGGTACGGGAGAAGGCTACTCTGCTTTAGTCTGGAGCTATCCCACTTTCGACTTTTTGATGCTTATCAATCTGTTCAAAGAATCACCAAACTGATACAGCGTCTGTCAAATCAGGCTGTCGAGACAGCTGTGTAATTCGTTCGAAAAAGAAACGGAGAACCTCTCAAGCATACAGGGTAAATTAACAAAGGATTTTATGACGCAGAGTTAGTCGTGAGAGTTGAAACTTTCCTGATTTTTTTGCTAGTTTTAAAGGAATAAATGTCTCCTTTAAAGCAGGTAAAATGTGGGCACAGTCTAAGAGTCGCAAAAAGAGGGGTTTTTGGAGGGTGTTTTTCTCTTAGGAGTGGGATTAGAAGAACATTATTCTCAGATTAGCAGTGGAGTTTTGAATGATAAAGGGAACAAGGTCATAAGATTAATTATAGATTACTTTATACTCTAAGAAGCTGGATTTTTGTTGTTGCTTTAATATGGATTTAGAGGGACACTTAATGTTATTGTAATTATTAAGTGAAAAGGATATATTTTGTTCGTATGTTATACCTAGTGTAATAGACAACCCACCTATTAAAAAACATAAGAGAAAATTAGAATCGTCTTTGGATTCAAAGTTTGTGTATATTTGTAGGTAAGGAGATCCAGGGACAATCTGCTAATGACCAAGCAAAACATAATATTGGTACACAAAGCAGAATCAATAGGTAATTAATGATAAATTATCAAAAATGAGATTCGGCACTTCTGCAGTATTTCAAAAATGATATTTTCATTAAAATATAAACTATTTTAATATTTTAAGAAAATATTGATAAATGAGAATGACATATTAAAGCATATTTGAAATAGCAACATGTTTTTAGGATCTAGCCCAATGTATAATTCCAAAATATAACATCTTAAAGATTCTTCAAACATTAATTCCTCTAGTAAATAGAATACCTAGTGGCACATCGATACCTCTAAAAGGCCTAACTCATAATAGGTATGCAATAAATATTTCTTGAAGAGTCTCTGTTAATCCATATAGGGGGATATAAATTTTTTAAAAAAAGGTTTCTCAAGAAGCTCATACTCTCGCTGGGAGACTGAAACTAAAAACATTTAAAAGAAAAGTTCTGGATAGTTCTTCATGCATAGAACCTCATGCCTGTTTTGGACCATGGGTGCTTCAGGCACTTAGATTGATGTGAGCTGAAATATTCAAGAAATTCTTCGCAGTAGGGTCAGGACCCAGTGTGGGCCTGAGAAATGGGCAAAATATCAGTAGATAGAAAAGAAAAGAAGTGACTTCCTATGGGTGAGTTGTCAGCAAATATATGTAGCCTAAAGAGTAACTGGCTCTGACTGAAGCAGAATGTTTGATTGGAGGCCTTGGTTTAAAAAAAAAAAAAAGCATAAGTTACATGAAGAGTCAAGCTTGCCAGAATTAAGGAAAAATGTGTATTTCTAAAAGTGACTACGGAAATCATCATTTAACACTTATTTTTCTATCTAAAATTCAGAGGATAATGTATGTAAAAATATGCAAGAATCCCAGGAAACCCAGATATCCAACCACCTAGATGAAATTGTTGGTGCTGTCAGCATAACGCCTCAAAAGAAGATCTCGAAACAGCTGACTCAGACATTGCTCTTTCAGCCTCCTCGAGAGAAACTCCACCTGTGTGAAGAGAAAGCAAAGTCCTATTCCAGCAGGCATGAAGTAAGGGGCCTTTCTTTTCTATACTGTGCTCTGGGAATTGAGAAGTATAATAGCTTAGGTTACATCCCTACAATCTGAAGCTTGGCAGAAGAATATAAACAGGAGTGTGCCTTTGTCACAGCTCGATTGGGTGTAGTACAGCTCAGGGTTCCAGCGCAGCAGTTGCCAGTCAGCGTCCGTTTGCTGAATGGATGCACGAATGAACAAACAAGTCTACCCTGATCTGTGTGTATACCGGAATGACTGGCCGTAGGCTTCACCCATCAGTCAGTAAGTAATCAGCGCCCCCTATGGGCCAGGTGTCGGTAGTGCAATACAACATAAAGCAGATGAAGCTTCTGCTCTCCAGAGCTTAGATTTCCTAGGTCCTTTATCTTGTTCTATATATACTTCTTAAAAGTTTTACTCATTCACTCGTTCATTCCATATGCATTTCTCTACCACCTTCTATTTGTTGGGTCCTGTTCATTCATTCATTCATTCATTTCTCAAATATCTACTGTACGTGTAATAAGTGCCAAGTGCCGTGCGGGTGCTGGGGGCACAGTCGGAAGGCCACAGGCTCTGCCTCGGAGGGATCTATGGTTCGGTTGAGAAGACAGACAGGGAGACAGATAGTGGTAGTCAGTGTGATAAGGTCTGTGATGGACACAAGCTCAGGTGAACGTGGGGGTTGGGGAAGAGGACTGGGCAGTGATCGAGATGAGTTTCAGGTGTGTACAGCATCGTGCTTCCATACAAAATGATCATCGCAGTGAGTCCAGTGAACATCATTACCACAACTAGTTACAATTTTTTTCTCTAGTGAACATCATTGCCACAACTAGTTACAATTTTTTTCTTGTGATGAGAACTTTTTAAGATCTACTCTCTTAGCCAGTTTCAAATACACGATACAGTGTTATTAGCTATAGTCACCACGCTGTGCTGTCTTTTACATCCCAGGTCTCATTTATTTTGTGACTGGAACTTTGTACCTTTTGACCCCTTCACCCATTCTGCCCACCCCCCACCCCCACCCCACCAACTCTGGCAACCACCAATCTGTTCTCCATATCTATGAGTTTGTTGTTTTGAGGTTTTTAGCTTTTAGGATTTTTTAGATTTCACATATAAGTGAGATTAGAAGGCATTTGTCTTTGTCTGTTTGACTTATTTCACTTAGCATATTATCCTCAAGGTCCATCTATGTTGTCACAAATGGCAATATTTCATTCTTTTTTATGGCTGAATAATATTTCATTATATATGTGTATGTGTGTATATATATATTCACATTTTCTTTATCTATTCATCTATTATTGAACACTTAGGTCAGTTCCATATCTTAGCTATTGTAAATAACACTGTAATGAACATGGGGGTGCATATATCTTTTCAAGTTAGTGTTTTCATTTTCTTTAGATAAATGCCCAGAAATGGAATTGGTGGATCATATGGTAGTTCTACTTTTTAATTTTTTTATGCCATCTCATTTTTCAGTTTCTATTTTTCTGTCAATTGCTGAGGCTGAGCAC